AAAAAAAAAAAAAGAAATACCCTTATCTCTAACTCGACACTAATCACAAGTTTCACGATAATATTAGTTCCAACGTCTACAGATAAGTCGAAATATCCGGATGCTTATACGGTATTGTACATGTAGAAACGAGCTCGTATCTCCTATCCTTAGATTCTAATTCACAGATTCCTCGCCGTGTTGGTGCTCGTCAATGGTACAATATTACCGTCAAACATGTTGCTGGACCTAGGCAGGCGTACGAACATCTCAATGGAGAAATACAGTCAAGCGGAACAAGCGATCCTGAACTCGCGGACGCATTTGAATCACGGTTCTCCCTCGTGGTTCCTCGGTGCGTCACACGAGATGACCGAGCACGCTCAAAATTTGTCGAGGAAGGCTCTGCGGATAGAAACGATGGCCGTGATGTTGGTGGAGGCGTTGAACATGTCGTCGAAGGAAGCGTCCTCGGTGTTACCCTCGGTAGCTGCTATCAGCTGTCCGGACTCGCCTACATTTTTACAAGTGATGAACAGCTGCAAGAACCTGAGTCCCCGCTACAGAACGCACACCGGGAAATGCAATAACGGCTTGCATCCGACCTGGGGTGCAGCTATGGAGGCTTACGTACGATTCCTACCGTCCGACTACGTGGATGGTGTCTCTCTGCCGCGTACAGATTTACCAAGCGCCAGGCAAGTCTCGTTGAGAGTGCATTCCGGCGGATCGGATGTTAAGCATCCTTACTTAATGGCGCTCACCGCGCTATTCGGCCAATTCCTCGTCCACGATCTCGCGCACACGCCAAAGATGGAACTACCCGACGGAGGGAAATTAAAATGCTGCGACGTCGACTACGAACACTTTCATCCGGAATGTTTCCCAATCCGAGCTGACAACCCCGTCGGTTGCATGGAATATTCTAGGTCGGCGCCGCATCCTGGAAATTCGCTGCAGGTGCGACATATGCAACGTGTGCAATGAAAATCATTTGCGAGAAAACTATAAATGAGGGTCGTTTAAGTAGGATAGAGAGTTAGACGATTAAATACTAAAACTAACAACTAACAGATCGAACATTTCGATGAATTATGAAAACTCTCGCGCGTTTATGGGAAATTTCGAAAATGTACGAAGCGCATCTGTAAAATGAATGCATCTAAATGAAGTAATAAAGCATTTAAAGCGAAACAAATATCTCCTTCGGTTCCATACGAAAGCGTGAATTTTAGGAATAGAATTAGAGTAAAAGTATTTCTCTGCGCAGGGATGCAAATTGGGTCCTCGGCAGCAGATCAACCAAGCGTCCTCGTACTTGGACCTCTCTCCTGTTTATGGGAGTTCGGAAGACGTAGCGAGAGCTCTGCGATCCGGCAACGGCGGTTTACTTAATACGCAGAGGAAGAACTTGCCCATGCCTTCGCCCAACTACGAAAGTTGCAGAAGCGCGAACAGAGCTTTCCCGTGTTTTCTTAGCGGAGATTCGCGGGTAAACGAGAACCCCGGTCTCACTCTAATGCACGTACTTTTTCTACGTGAACATAACCGAGTCGCCACAGTGCTGGGGCAACTGAATCCTCACTGGAACGACGAGAGACTCTACCAAGAAGCAAGAAGGATCGTTATCGCGGAAATGGAGCATATAACTTACAACGAGTTTCTACCCGTTGTTCTTGGAGAAACAACTCTCGACAGGTACGTGTCTTCTCTTTCTCTAGCTTCATAATTAATTTGGCGAAAATTTTTATTCAGCTTTGTCGTAATTTCTTACTTTGTCACTGTAAAATCGGCATACTTTGATTTGAATTTATGCGATAGTTTTATCCACTGGGCCAGATGGGCCAGATCGATACCGTGAAATTTGAACTCCACTTTTAGAACGCGGCCAAAAACACATCTTTCCATTTTCGATTCCATACACTTGAAGTCTCTGCACAGGGTATTATCGATTCACATCGTATGTAGCGGGTGGGAAAGCACGAACTTTGGAAAAACAAACTCAGGGCAATCAAAGGAGGAGCTTTGCGCTTTCAAACGAGAGCAAATGTGACTCTTTTTTTTTTTTTTTTTT